GAGGCGAATATCTCGGCGATGAGTGCACTATCTGAGCTGCGGCTTGGGCTGTGTCTTAGTTAAGGTCCTAAGATTACTTTGCGCGCAAGGTTCCCATATTTCCAGATTTGTCTAGACGCTGCCTTTAAGAAACATATTTTGAAATCAGCGTTTCAAGGCGGGTCCATGATATACAGCTTGTTTGAAATAGCTGGTTTAAGGTTCGACCATTTCCTCGTCAGCAATGCATATGTTATGTTCTAAATGTTTTACCTTCACGGCCCAGTCGTAAATGTCATCCATCAAACCGAGAGGAAGATCCCACGCTACACCTCCTGGACGTATGTAATTCACATGCATTCGCGCACCCGAGACACGTTCTTGGAATTCGAACAGTTTCTCCCTTTCTAAAGTGTCAAATTTTTCATACAATAAACAAATAAAACACGAAAGTGAAGCGTGAATAAATCAAAAAATATGGTAAATCCACCTTCAAACATCCAGAAAAACGGAGTCATAGCGCCAACATCGAGAGCATGCGTAGTTATGCCCATAATATGATTTTGAAGCCTAGTGAGTTCAGCAAACATTGCTGCAAAGACAGTTAAATCAGCTCCTCTGAAACTGCATACGACACTCACTGCGGATATACTTTGCCCGCGGTGGAATTTCAATTCCCAGCAACTTTTCGACAGCTAGAGCAAAGCCTTGTTCATTGCACATCATTGAGACGTAATCCAGCCGATCAAAGTAGGGTACAGCCTGAAAATTTTGATGGCTGAAACAAGGTTTCCGCGGAGGCCCACATTCCTAGGGTAACGATACTTTCAATAGCCTGGGATAAAATTAGCAGGCCTCCCATTACACTATTACAAAGCATTGACAGGGAATGCAGAGATTAACTGCAATGTCAGGCCTCAAAGACTGCTCCATCGAGCTCAATGATATTCCAAGAACGTTCGGGTTTGAGGCAGGAAGGTTGTGATTTGAGGTGACTCTGCTGGCAAATTCATGACACAAATATGGCTGTGCCAAGTGATCGGATGCCAATTCTCCTCGATGATATTCGAAAATTATGTTCCCGGTGGAAACAAATCAAAAATCAGAAGCCGTGTTCCGTTGGCAAACATTTCTTCAAGACCTCTACACTAAAAGACAGTTCCACGAGTCTCGGGTATTTCGCATTATCTGGGCCACCATGCACTTGCGATTTTCCACATGTTCGAAACCATCCCACGCGCGCAACTTGAACGCACACTAAGCATAACTCCGTGAGTGCATGCAAACTCACTGTGTTGTGTCAGATCATGCTTACAACGAATCATAAGTGGTACATAACCAAGCACGCGAAAAGGGGAATGCACGAGATCGTTAAAAACCCAAAACAGTTGATTAGCGACACCCCACAAATTCTTTCGGTGGGCTGTTTGCCGGATACCCATGTTTCCATCCTACCTCAAACAAACTCAGCTCCTAATAATCAAAGCTCCCTCCTAGTTAACAAACCTGAGTGTAAGTTTTATATTCAATCAATTTCTCTGTTGCTCGATGAAGGAGACCAATATGAGGAATCGCTTTGATGACCACCTAAAACAAGATTCGCTATAAATCTACGTTTCAATCATACACGTTACAGGAGCTCCAAAAAACACATTTTTGCCAAGAAAACACAGACCTCGCCTTCCAATTTCAGTACAAGCCGAAGCACACCGTGAGCTGCGGGGTGTTGTGGTCCAAAGTTCAGGATCATATTTTCAAGTTGTTTTTCACTTAAACAAAATTCTCAGAATTTTGCAGTCCTCGAGTATAAAAATCAAAAAGCACGATGTCTTCTTGCACATGGCTGAGCCTTATGCTATCCACAACATAGATGATAAAGACTATAAGAGTTGTGGACAGAATCTACAAATGGCACCACCCACTCAACCAGGGTGACGAGATTTTGATGCTGTATAGTACGGGATGACCCTAAGCAGCCGCCCAAGTGTCAGTGCAAA